TATCCAATTAAAAATATAAATTAAAATATTTAAGACTGTTTAAATTGTTTTACAGTTTCGAGATTTAGAATTTGAATATGAATGTTTTAACCAAAATCGTATAGATTATCGATAATATGAAGGAAGGAGTATACAGGCAATGTAGGTTTCAAATGGTCTTTATTACAAATAATGTTTTCACAAATTACGCTAGAAGTCACGATGGCAGGTATCCATATCTCTGAAGAACACTCAGAGCTACCATATCACGTTGTTCGTACCGAGGTTCCCCTCCGCTTAGATAATATCAGAACAATTTCATTCGGCTCACCTCATGGATGATCGAAATCGAGTCGATTTCATACATTCACTCTCTTCATAGTGTCTTTTACTCATTCGATTAAAAAAATGCATAAAGAGAACATCTGCTTCCTATTTATTTTAATCAGAACAATTTGGCAATTTATATTCATTTATCATTTATTCAATTTGTTCCTCATGTTTGTTTGAACAATTCGATCAGTCTTTACTTTTGGTGCTCCTTAAATAACATCTCAATACAACACAAAACATAATTCTTATAGAATTTCCTATGCCAAAAACGAGCACAGTCGTTTCTAAGTAAGAAACCATTTACAGAAACATGTAATATTTCACTTTTCTTGATAGTCATGCATTTTTACAGTTGATGATGTTTACGATTACATGTATGAGAAACTCTATAAGAATCACATAGTGGATGTTGCAAAATAAATTTCGTATTACATAGTGTAATTAATTATGATATTTAGAATTGAAAACTTTACACCAGTTTTCTCAAATATATTATTATAAACATAAGAGATTTCTGAATTTAAATGTTTAAGCAAAATTACTCTGCTATTCTTATACAAATTATTTTTATAAGTTCTCTCTATGGATTTGTTTATTTAAATTTCTTACTGGGAACGTTTTTAATATACAGAGCGGTTCACGAGAGAATACTATTTTATTCCGATTTTTATCGTTATTATTACACTCTCTCTCGAAACCATTCAACATTATATATAAACATTCTCTGCTATGTATAATAATAACGACGAAAATCGAGGTGGTGATACCAGACGAACCACACTGCATACAAACGTCGAGCTAGCGCTTAAAATACGTGGAAGCAATAAATATTAACAAACGCTAATTGTATCCCGATGATGGAAACACTGTATCACTTTTGTTCTCGCGACGATAGAGTTAATAAGGCACTTTGCGTACATTCTTATCCAGTTGAACCGCTAAATACGACGTGTACTTTTCCTACTGATACGATTTATCTCGCTTATTGTCGACGTTTCAGTTAACACGATATCTAAATATATTAATAAATGGCGTGTGGAAAGTTCGAGTTACTTTCTCGTCTCGTTAAACGTAGAAATAGTAATTAGCTCGAGGACTTGAGTCGATCGTCGTCAACTTAACAACCTACCGTTTGTACGTTCTAAATTGCAAAAATATATCCCTCGATCGTCTATCCTTGTCATAAGTCTAAATCTAACGAACCTAGAGACTTCGCTCGCTTAGTCTACTACCGAGGTCTCGATTCAATTATTATTTAACGATCGCGCGATTCGTTGATTGGATACAATTTAACTAGAAAAGTTTCGTAGTGTCTAAGCGTTGCGTGCTCCCTTCGTGAAATCGTCCGGGAATCTTTCATGGTCATGTTCCTTCCCGACAGATTCGTTTCACTAAATTACGTGTACAACCGGCCCGCGGTTTAATATCACGAATTCGATAATAATTGCGTACCTTCGTTCGCATGTCCACTTCTTCTCTATCACGTTTGTTCTCGTACGCGCTCGAGTAAAACCGATCGAATGATTCGTAGAACTGAACCTGATGTAAATGAATGGAACAGAGGAATCAGTATTTGAAGAACGATTTTTGATAATAGAAAATCACTGATCAGTTGAGAATCGGGTGCGGTTGCCAAACATCAGTTCTGGCACTGGCACTCGAGAACCGTTTCTAAAGGAGAAAGGCACACTTTCCTCAAACGCTCGTATAGGAAATCGCCTGCTTCTTTTCGTATGTACGCGGACCACCGTCGTTCGCCATATTCTTGGTGGATCCCTCGCTGTCCAGCGAGCTGTTATCACTGTTGGGCCTAGACAGGACCTCGTTCACGTCCTGTAGTTGAGCATTCTCGTAGCTTCTTCTGTTCCGCGTGATCGTAGACTCGTGCGGGAGCTGTAGATCCTTTCTAATGTATTCCGGACTGGAACTCCACTGGGTCCCTTCGTAAAAACCAGACTCTGGCGAGGCGTCGGACATTGGAGAGATCGGTAACGCTATAAGCGGAGACTCATGGTTCTTCAACGGAGGGATGTACGCGTTCGGAGACAAATTAGGGTCCGATATCGATGTTCTATTGCTCTCGGCTATAATCTCTTGCTGTCGCGGAGATTTAACAGATTTTTCCATCTCGATCATCAGCCTGTCGTCAGTCGAGTTCACTCTTCCTCTGGCGTCGTGCTCGATCTCCCTTGACCCCTTTGCACTGATGTTCCTTCTAATGGCGTTCAGTCTTTCTCTACTGCCCGTGTGTCGTCTGAAACTCTCCCTGTTACCGATCTCCGCCTTCTTGTCATCCAAGGGTATCAATAAATACCTCCTGGACCCGTTTAGATTCCTCCTGGATCCATCCAGAGATCTTTTATCTTCCTCGAAACTTCTCAGTATGTTCTTGTGATACAAATTCCTCTTCGAACTGTTCAGAGATTTCCTCTCCTCGTCTAGAAGCGGGTGTCTCAGTATATTTCTTTTACTGTTCGATTTTAATAACAGCGGGCTTCCTTCTCTCGACGCTTCCGGCTCCTCGAAGATGATCTCCCGACTATTTCGCAGGATCTCCTTGTTCACTGCCTCCGGCAGATGCTGCAGTTCTGTCTCACCCATCACTTGGATACCGTCTGGGTCCAAATCGAATATTTTGTATTGACCACGATCGTGGTCCCGGTTCGGTATCGGAGGCCCGTGGCAGCTCGAGTCCCTACAGGCGTTGCGACAAGGACTCGCCTCGTCTGCGCTCGTCTCGCTTCTCCCGCTGTCCGTGTAGTTAATCAGTGGATGATGACCCGGTTGATGATTGGTCACTATCAGTGGCCGATGACCGTAGTGGTAATGGGTGTCCTGACAAGACTCCGACAGAAAGTCCTCGTCCACTATCACACCTGTAAATTTGCCTTCCGCTTAGACCGATTCGAGTCTCCAAATAGCGATTTTGTCGAGTGGAGCCTCTAACAGTTCGAACTCAGGTCGGTTAGTTGAAAACGCATTTCAAAATTTTTGACACTCTTTTTTAGAGAACCAGGCTGTTAAACACGTCCGTAGACGTTTATAGCGAATTTATTAGTTAGAGTGAATAAAACATTTTAAGTTTCGTTTTAAGAAGAGAGAATAGAATCGTTGGACGTAGTATAAATAAATAATTGTGACTGATCAAAGACGTGGCAGCGAAGGTGTTTAAGATGAAGTAATTAGGAAACGTGGCTTAGCGATTATTTCAGCTTAAGGGGATTCGCAACAAAATTATACATCGTGGGTTCTTACAATAAAGGAATCTAGAAGTTAATCAAAAGTTTTTGAACGATTTATTAAAGGACGTGTAACATTTCTGATTGAATTTATTTAGCAGACGATCCAGTACAAATTTTATAACAAATAGGTCATGGAGTTGTGATTTTAAGGCTAAGTTGCGAGTCCCTTTAAAGATTCACCCTTTACCAGAGCCCTTGACGCATTGTAAAACGACGCTCACAGTCAGCGCTGGACGAATAGTCACGATGTATCAGGGCAACGAAACGAAGGACAGACACACAAACACCCGATAGAAGGGACTCTTAATCGATCTTATTATCCCGAAGCCCCGGAAAATTCTACGTTTCGGTTCTCCTCCCGAATCTTTGGTTTCCTCCCTTCTGTCTATCGATTGCACTCTCTTGCTTCCTCGCCCCGCGACTTGCATTAGCGTCCGTCGGGGCGCGAGTACGTTCGTTCACAGTCCCGGGCAGTCGTCGATGGATGGAATGTCAATGTGAAGCTTCGATGCTCCGTAGGAGGAGTACCCTTGCGAGGCAAGGAACTCCTCGGTGGCGGTGGCGTCCGCTTGGTTGGCGTTCGATATCACCGGCGCGGATTTTGGCTCGCTAGGAATTTTCCGCAGGACTCCATCTACGGTATACACCAGCACCAACAGAGTCAGAGAGACGGACACGTGAAGGAGTAAAAGCATGCACAAGCAACAAAAAGCACCGAGCAAGAAAAACCCCGTTCCTTTATTAACTCAAGTTTTATATGTTCGAGCATCGCATTATGGATTGGGTTCCTCTATTATAAAATGGGATTGGAAATCTGAAAGGATTGAAAAATGTTAATGTAACAACGATATTCCAAATACACATTTCTATATTGGATAGATTGGAAGGACGAAAAGAGGATGGAAATATAAGGAGAAGTTGAGGGAAGGAAAAGGATGTGGATAAAGGAAGGAGGTTCGAGGTGGGAAAAAGAGAGGAGAGATTTTATGGTTAAGACGGAAGGGAGACCAATGGAAGAGCCATTGGGAAGCAAACAATAAAGATAAAGGGTAGTGAGGAAGAGAAATGATACAGGGCGATATGTGAAATAAAGAGAAAGACAGAATAAGAAAAAGAGTGGAAAAAAGAAATCGCCAGAGGAGTTGGGATTAAAAAATAAAAGTGTGTACGTATATGGAGTAGCTCGAAAGGGAATCAATTAATAAATATAAATATAAGTTGTATATTTTATATTGAAACGACGTGTATACATTTTTATATGGATAAGACGTGCGTGCGTTTGGGAAACGAGGAACACGTGGAAGGGCTAACAGTAAGAACAGACAGCATAAGAAGCAGAGACGCTGGAGCATGAGCACGAGGCGAGCGGATGGTCGGGTATCGATTAGTTTGATTCGCATGTGCATCCCAATTAGAGCACGTGGTCGGCCTTGTTGTATAGTTAGTGGTTGTTTTGTAACGTGTTATTGGCGTGTCGTGCCGCTGGACGCATGACGGAAATTTTTAATTACACCGGACATTACGGTCTAGTAAAAGTTGGACGGCGTTCGTGCACGGGCTTCCGTGACACAGGGGTGATATTCTCGCTATTTCAATTTAATCTACACTATGGCATTTTTAATAGCACATGATGCCTATTCTAGTCGTGTGTCATGCGTGTCTGGTCATCTAACTAATAAACACTTGTTTTCCTAATCCGTCGTTAGTCCGTTCGATAATATCTAACAACGTTTATTACTCATTGATTTACCCCTGAATCTATGTTCATTAAATACAATCTTCTATTTTCTATCGCGTCTCGCGGTAATACTAATGAACAGGAAGGTAACAACGCACTTACCGTTTCCATGACGGAGTTCTTCTTGTACTTTGTAAAACTCAGCGAGCTCCCTGCCCGAGCACAGAGGCGTGTCGACCTGTGTGGTGCTGTTGAACAACGAGTAATCCACCTCGTAACCCTGCCTCTCCTTCGAGTACATGACCATCGGCTCGAACCTATGCCCCCATAGAATCTCCTGCGGCAGGTAGCTAGACCTGGCCTGAGTGGTCTGTCCCGTGGACTCGATGGTACCCTCGAGAATGGCCACCACCTCGAACCTCTGCGTGAGCATGTCTTCGGCTGACATATTATAAAACGGTGATTCAGCGTTGATCTTGTGCACGATGGTGGTCGGCCAGATGAAAAACAGATTCCCGTTCTGGCCATCGGTACCCACAGACAGTTCCAACTGATTCTGCGACAGAACCTCGCCCTCTTTGGTAGTCCTCGAGCGAATCAGCTGCGCTCGTACCGCGGCACCGATTATGTGGCTCTTCCTCATGTCGCCCACGCGGAACATCAAACAGAGCTCGCCGTCTCTTTGGCAGATCACCGCGTTCGTCGAGAACAGCAACGTCTGCGTACGTTTCTTCGGTCTGCTCATCTTCGCGAATACTATCCCGACCATGAACGCCTGTATCATCACTCCGGCGATGCTCTGCACGCACATGACGAAGATCGCCTCGGGGCATTCTTCGGTGGTCGACCGGCTACCGTAGCCGATCGTGTGCTGCGTCTCGATGCTGAACAGGAAGCAGCTGGTGAACGAGAAGATGTTGTAGACGCACGGCGTCCAGTTGTTCTCGGTTTGGAACGGCGGCAGGTGAGCCTCCTCGAAGTCACCGTGGGTGAACGCGATCAGCCACCAGATCACCGCGAACCCCAGCCACGAGAGCATGAAGCTCAGGCTGAAGCAGAGCAGCGTCCAACGCCACTGCGCGTCCACTAGGGTCGTGAAGATGTCCTTGATGAAACGCCAGGAACGCTTCGAGATGCGCGATTGGAGAACGTTGCAATCGCCGTTCTTCAGGACCGCGCGGCGGCGAAGCTTCCGCGTTGGCCCCGCTCTGAACCGGCTCCTGAAAATTAATATTCGTCCATCTAAATCAGAAGTGGCGAGATTCTTTCCATTTGTAGATTTTAACTTTCGACAATTTTTCATCAACTGCAATTTACAGAAAATAATAGGAAAGAAATTTATAAAATTCTTGAAACTAGAGAAAGATGAAGCAGAAGGAGTTATTACATAACGAAACTTGTTACTGAAACGATTAAAAAAAATCGATAACGAGCCTTGAATAGAGCGATTTATCGGACAATTAGAAAAACAGTTAACAATAAGAGATAAAGGAACAATTGAGAGCTTCCTTCAGGCATATTTAAAGAGGAGCCTAATTAAGGATTCGTAAGGGGCTTTGTGATGCGAAAGTCGAGTCTCCCAAATGTATGACACTCGTTCGCACGCGATGAGACACTTCTTTTTTTTCATCTGTTGCACAACAGTGGGAATAAATTATTGACGCGGTGCGACGGTCAAGCGAATCGTCGCCAAGGCCTGCGACGATATTCCACGGAGGAGATCAGGTTGGCCATTTGAATAACAAATTTCGAAGATCGCATTGTTCTTCACCTGTCGACTCGATCTTTCCTTATTCGCAAACGAATCGGACTCGTTATGAAAATTCTAGTTGCGATTCTCTATCGCGCGTATGCCACCGATTAATGCCGTTGCATATTTTCCCTCGTCGCGCGCGTGCACCTTTGCATAGCTAACGAAACACATGCGAGAGGATCAGACGGTATGGAAAATTTCAGAGATCTCGCGCTTAATTCCTTTTCTTATTTGTCTGTATGAACTTGAAAAGAAGTACTCACGATGGATCTCTTCGCATTGTACGTCATCGTTCTTGAAGCTTTCCATCACAGAGATCACTTAATCGGCCGGGGAGCTTACGGGTCACACACACGCACGTTCTATCTCGAACCTGACCAAGCCAAATGTCTCTTTAACAACAAGTTCATCCTTATCTCACTCCGGTTAGCTCTGATTTTCGAGAAGACACGCGACCGTTCTTACTCTAATCCAAACGCAAACCGTATCTCCGAACGTTGTATTCTCACTGACGAAAATGTTTACGGCAATAACAAGAGGATCGAAGAGCTGTTTTATCAGGCCCACTGTTCCCACTTTCTCCTTGGCTACTTGAAATTCTATAGATATCGAAGATAACTAACTATTGCACGTAAAATTGTATCGAATCTTATCGTGAACGGGCGAAATACAGAGCGAACGTATATGAGACCGCGGGTGCATCGCGTGTTTGAAATATGTACATCGTCCGCGGCCGGTTCGATGATCCGACTGAGACATTCTTGCTGGCCACCCTTTCGTACGGTCAAAAGGAAGTCGCCATTTTGACTCACCATGATAACCGAGCAACTGTTATCTACCAATTTATTTATTGCCGCGAGTAAATCAATCGGCGAGTCGTCGACACGCGGTCAGCTACCCGATTCATTATTAAGCCCCATCGAATTTTGAAGATCCATACGTTTTCTGGATCCTAACTTCGTCTTATATTCTAAGATTTTTATCTCTTCGTTTGCGATTATTTTTATTGGATTTACCACTTTGGTGCAGTCGGACGATATTCCGCGACCTCGAACAATTCGTCGAGATATCGGTCGATCGTTATCGGTAACCGGCGATAAAGATAGTTCAGCAACGAAACGGCGTGACTTTTTTCTTCTTCTAAATTTACGAGCGACACGATAGAAATTGTGTCATCGGGATGTAACGATTATCTAAGGTGGGCCTTGAAAACAATTCTGAAGGCTCTTTCTATTTTTTTTCAAAGATGCGATAGTTGTATTAGCACTTATCGATTAAGAGAAGCGCGAAATATCTGGTCGAATTCGTTCGACGTTTTAAGTATGTAATTACTTCCTCATACTGTCGAGGGTTGTTTGGCCGGGCAATTGAACGAATGCTGCGAGATACTGACCAGTTGAAATGTGGTCTCTTATCGAATTAACGCGCGGCTCGCAAACAAACGTAGTATAGGTACATACGTGTCTACACAGCGTGCAGAAACTCGAGGCAGGGGAATCCGAAAGAGGACGCATTAATGAATAACTGATACCGCAATTACATTTATTAACTGCGCAAAACTGCTTACGCGTGCGGCGATATGATATATGAGACTATAAACGTCAAACTATGATGAAAACTGGTTTTTAATGGCAATTACAAACTAATTTCAAAGATTGATTATGCACGTTCACCCGAACTTGTTACTGAATTGCACAAAATAAAATGTCTATAGTGTCAGATAAAAAATTTATGTATTATTATATTTTCTGTAGATTTAATTTTCCAGATACGACAATTTAAATTTGTCGAGATTGATGTATGTAATTTTTAAAAAAGCAGCTATCGGGGGAATTTTATTTTAATCTTGTATTTTCCAGTTTTACCTGCTTCTGGACGACGAGCTCCTGATCACTTTAACTATAACCGGCGCGGTTTTATTCGACAACAGAATTTGTTTCTCGTCCCCATCTGGCGAAGACGACTTCACGCTCGAAATAGGACTCTTTGACTCGTTTCCATTCATTGTATTTTCCATCTTCTTTCTCTAAAAATTCCCTCTTAATCACGAGTTCGGTTTTCGTTCAGCCTCACGCGTTCCTCCACATCTTTCGTTCAAAGCTCAAATGACGTATTTTTGTTGTCAGTCACTCAAGTGTTTGCCAAAGGCTTTAACCGATGCAGTCACAAGTTCTCGTTTCTTATCGGGAAAGGATAAGTGTCCAAAGGACTTTTTTTTCCCAGTTTTATCGAGCAAACACCTCTCCTTATTGCACGTTCTTAAGATTGCAGATAACCGTGCAATTTATCACGAAGGAATTTCTATAACGCGCCTGTCGATGCACTTGAGAAAATCGAAAAATATTCAATGGAACAATTTTTCCCAGCAGTTACGTAATTGATAAATAATCCATCTTGAGATTTTTTCACGATTGCTGATAACAATGCTGATAATCGAGAGATATTATTGCACTGTAGACGATTAATATTTTTAAACAAATAATTCAATTATTTTTCCCCTTATCTCTTGATATTCGATAATCGTGCAATAATTATAATTAAATAATTATCGTCCCTTTCACTTATTGTTTTCAATCTGTCGTTGCGGTAACCGGGCCAAAGAGAGATTATTTCTGAATTTCTTCGCTGCAGACGCGAACACGGCTGACAAAACTCACTGACCAGTCACTCCTTTTATACTGTTAGACTTCTCTTCTTAAGAAATCGACCGACTTATCGATCCCATTAGTCACAGATTCTTATCAAATTGGGCTCTTCTGAAGCTGTTAAGTACTCTCTTCCGAATAATCGAATCCTTCTTAGAGTTTGCCAGTCTCGTCTAATTTCGTCACGCTGTCCTACCTATGCACACTTCGCTGTTGACTATGATGATTAGATGTTCGGAGTTTGATGGTGGAGGATCTACTGATCTGGAAGCAATGATGCAGGTTGTCTTATACGAGGCCAGACGATACCTGGCCAGCGGTCTCCACTTATCAGCCACTAACAATAACGTTTGCTCTTTTCATTTGCGAGGAAATGGACTGACTGCGTCACGCGGAACGCGTCTCCCATTAATACCGATTGTTTCTCCCCCCGCCTCCTTATCAGCGATAACGACACTTTTCTTTGATTTTTACCTTATTAACTCTATTCTCTCTGAAACCATTTTTATTTACGCTCCCTCGGTTACCAATTTTTATAAATAAAACGCTTCGCAATTACGGAAAATTTTTTTACCAACACACTTCTCCGTAAAGAATACTTAACACTCCTTTTGTGAAGCAAACAGTGGAATTGTTTTAAGTAAAGAGGCAAACAACGATCCTGGTGGTACAACGCTCGGAGGTGTCCAAACTACAAACTCTCGTTACGGATGGCGACTTTTTAATGTACCGATTCGAGCCGTGATTCGCGAACGGGATATTAAACGTAACGCTTATCGTTCCGCGATTTTAATGCCGCGTGAAGTGGACGATTTTTGGAGAAAACAACTTTTTATACGATGATACACTCGCCTCTTTCGTATAGTATTATCTGCGGCCGATTTTCGCCGCGATGCACTCCGTTCGGTGATAACGTCCCCGCGGGCCGTGACATCGCGAGACGTTCCGTGTCCCGCCGGCCGACTCGTTTCACTGACTGAAAGTCCGGCGGTAGCTCTTATCAACCTGCAACCATCTTATCGCCGCCGAGCATTTGAATTCGCTGATTTCGGATGAAAATGGATCCTCCATCAGCGAACGGTATAGACTGATCATTATATAATAATGTAGGTGCATTCCCGTTCGTGTCTTCAGAGCACGAATCAGCTATTAACGAAGTACCTCGAGTGATACCGCAGCGAACAGGCGTATCAGTTGTAAAATTATTGTTCCAACTAGAAAAGTTATTGAACACTTCGCCTTACGAGTTCGATAATTCGTGCTGCTTGATTGATCGAAGGGAAAAGTTAATAGAATGCGATTGATCGAAGTAATGCACGTGACGTGTAATATAAAAAATGTATGAAGCTAATTTTTGTAGATTTTTTTATTAGAATTTTATTAATTTAATTGCACGTGTACAGATTATTTATTGTAAAATCGATGAGCAATAAAGATGTTCTTATTGGTTGACAAATAATTCTGTAACGGAGTATTGATATACTCGTTTCATCGCAGTTTCATGAAATTACTGTTTTCCAAGGTCTTCTGCAGGTCTTACAATCTCTTCGATTTATCTTGCAATCTAGCTTATCGCTTAAAAAAAAACTGCTGTCTTTCCTGCAATTAGTCGTTATCATCTCGCGTAGCCTGGTTTCTCACGGACATTCCTTCGAACGAATCTTCTTCGTTGTTTAAGTTCGATTGGAGTTGCTTAGAAGAATATTTGGGCAGCCGGAAGGGCTCGATTAGCGCGGGCAACGATGAATCGCATTAGTCGGTGCTAATTTACTCGGTGCGCATTATAATGGCGCTATCCCATAGTATAGTGGAAGAGCTCGTACCGCTCGTAGGCGTCAATTGAGAACGATACCAATTCTGACAACGAGTCTCACGCGCGTTTGTATGTACAACTAAATTATATCTACTTCTTGAACGCTGTTTTTACTGATAAAATTGTACAGCGAAATCGAAGGGACAAGAGTTCATCTGACTTTTTAGATATTGATTGTACTTATTATTATAGATGGGGTCAAGTTCAATATAATTAGTAGTCTATACATTTACATTAGTAAGATAAATATATATATTTGACGATCTCAGTAGAAATTGACATGGCTTGGGTAAAAGTAGAGATTTTCTTACTGATGAGTAGGAATACAGACATAGATGAGTAGAAATAGCGACAAGTTTAGACTGATCGTAAGTAGAAACTCAAAAGCTGTGTATTTCAAGACTTCATTTTAAAAATGGATTATAAATGATCTTTGCCCAATTTGTCTCAATGCATATTTAAGTTCCACAATTTGCATTATAATGTTTGATTAATAAATTGCTTTTTATATTGGGTTGATAGCGAAATCATGCTTAATTGAGTAGAAATTGGGACACTTATCTTACTTATTATTAGAGATGGGATTAAGTTCAATTTGTTCTCACGAACTCAAATCGATTTCAATTACCAAGCTTCATATTATGGATTTCTATTAATACTTAAAGGCAATAATGTTTCAATGATTATATTTGAACAGTATTCATTTTATGCAAACTGATATCCGAGGAATGATTACTTACAAATAAAAGGACTTGAATCCTTTGCAAGTAGTCTCTGAATCTTTGAAACCAGAATTACATAACTGGTTTTAAGCACTTCATTTATTAAATTCTTAACTATTTAAGAATAATATTTAATTTACAAAACTTGGTTTTAGCCTGTTCTTTTTTTATCCATCATATTGACTGCTTAGGAGTGTGGCTGTTTCTATTTTCCGAAATACTTATAGAGAGTTTGAATTCAATCGATCAAAGTTCAAATCCGTTTGCAAGGTACTTGATCCCATCCCTACGTATTATGTATTTATGATATGAAGCTGGAAAAGAGAATTAAAAGTGGCGGCTAATTGCATGCAAATCGAGTCTCGGAACAGGTTCTACCGAGAACGCTCTTGTTGTTTCTTGCTACCGGTTAATTAATTAATATGTACTAAGTGACAAGCAATCACTGTCAATCAATAAGTACAATGCCATATAAAAAGCACATTAGCTCGATCTTATTTATTCTCCATCTTGGAATTCTACATGAATTCATTATGTAAAATAAACCTCGTGACGTAAAATCATTTCGTTGAAACTTGCATCTACTTGTGAACAGGATTTATCTTCCTTGAACATTAAATAAATCCTCTGAGAAAAAGTCACTTTAAAAGATCACGTATTCTTTCATGCGATGACTTCAATTTACGAATATACTCGATTTATTTAGTTTCACTTGCTAATTTCCTTTTGTACATAAAATCAGAATGTATGCATTTGCATTCTACCTCGTCTTGCGAAACCAACCAGCTGTCTCGAGTCACGGGCTTGCTCGACGACCGGGCAGGAACGGCCGGTCTACCGCGGTTCGACATAACTTCCGGTCCGATCTCGAGTCGTTCACGGGCGCGCGTCAACGTCGTCGTCGGGTGTAACGAGTGTAAGTACACTGTGGGTCGAGCTGAACGCGAGCTATCCGACCGCGACGTCGACGTCCACTTCGATAACGAGGTTTTAATTAAACTAACGAGATCGGACGAGCCGCGAGGTTCGGCCACGCCAAGGATTTTCAAACGCGTATGAAAAATTGTTCACCTCTCAGTGAGAAGTTGTTCCTACTTGACATTTTCATCCGCCGATTTTCATCTGAATGTTTTAGAATGGTTTCATACGGGGTGAGTCAATGTAAATTAATATTTGATCATTTTCGTTTTTTTTCCTTGGAATTTAGTCACATCAACGTTTAACAATAAGCTTATTAGCGACTAAGTTCTGAATCAAATGTTGTTGATAAACGAAATCATTGATACTGAGGGTTCGTTTCAGCTTTTTCTATTCGAATTCTGAATGAATTTCTTGAATTGCTTATAGTTATGTTAAAGAAAGTATATAAACAATATATTATGTATTAGGAAATGTAAAAAAGGTTGCCTCATTAAAAATAGAATCACAGGAATTGTCTAGGAGCTCAGTCACAGAAACAAATGCCACAGACATAGATTTAATTCACACTAGTGACAATAAATTTGATACATCGTGCATAATGTGATCATTTGATTAACACGAGTCCTACGTGAATTCTTCATTACTTTGAAAAATATTGTTTAAAAATATATTTTAACAAGCTGAAACTGAGGGTCAGTGAGTAGGATCATTTCTCATTGACTCATCTTGCAAATCACATGTATTACAACTTGTACGTTTATGAATGGAATAATCATTTCATTCATATACTCTGAATGATTTGACCCTAGAAATTTTTATTCTATTACAGAGGACCATGAAAAATTTCACTATCATTATAATAACGTGACTAGTTCGTGCTATGTTGAATGAGCCTCACTATAGTTTCTCAGTGCTAGAAAATAAGCCTAATGACGTACCTCCGTCTCTTTCTTTCTCCTTCTTATTTCTACAATATATAAAGTCTTACGAGGCGAATTCATAAAGTTTGCTCAGACATGAAGGGATATTTTAGGGAATTGTTTTTTTAATCTAACGTGTCAAAAATTCTGAAGAAACTCGCATATGTACTATACAAATAATATATTTATTTCAAACTCATAGATTGCAAAATTGAGTAATGCTCCATAAGACTGTTAATTATTAACTAATTAATTTGTCCTATATTCATGATTGAGAGCTGAAAAAATGCAGAACGTATCTAACAGTTCACTAATAGGAGAAACAGCTGAGCCAAAAGTAGGAGTTGAAAATTACAAAGTGGAAGGAGCTCGTCACCCCTGCTCTAAAACGTTGATTATGACAACTGTAATCACTTTAACGTTGATATAATGATAGAACAAAGTACTTAGGGTACACAATGATAAGGAAATAAAAGTAACAGCGTGATACTGCATTAGCGTTACTGATAATGACGACCGTCGCGATTACGTATACGTAAGATCGCGGCAAGCAATGATTTCGATTTCGTCGAGACCCGCTGCGCGAAACACCGGAAACATCTACTTTGCATACGAAAGAGACGACGTATCAGTGACTGGGCTGCAAAGCAGCCGTAATCGCTTGACAATTACCAAACAAAACAGCGGCTCGGTTCGCGGATCACGTGAACAGTTCCCAGGCTATCTCAAATTCCCGGTTAAAGAGGTGATCTACAGCTTTTGTTTGAGGAAACAATTCTGAGCATCGTTTGGCGCCAGGTGCTGTGATTTTAAATAGCCGGAATAAAAATAGTAGATAGATATATCGGCCACGGCTTATGTTTGGTCAAATGATTTTTCCTTGGAGACAGTCTATTTGCAACTATTGAGCAAATTTATCGAGTGCAAATGCTTTTAAGAGTGAAGACAATTCGATATTGAGGGTTAAATATTGAATAATTTTTATCTCACAGTTAGCGACTGACGTATGTAGTCGGATATTGAGTTGACGTACTCTGAACTAGAATAACTTTTTCAATATCGGAGTAAACAATATACTTTTCTGCGGGATGCAAGTTGTTAGTTTATCAATTCACAATTCATCTAAAGAAATTAAATTCATATACCTGGAGATGGGCATATGAATTTCATACCTAGGTACGTATATGAATTTAATTTCTTTAGTTGAATTGTATTTATTTAAAATCTGTTCGATGGTAATTAATTCAAATGAACGCGAATTAATACAAGAAATGGAATGGCTAATTAAACCTGCGTACCTGATACTTAATAAGAAAAATTGAACGGATTCCTATCATTGTCTCTAACAACAGACACTTATTAAACCATCTATTTCTTTGAACCTTCGCCCTTTGATTACGCACTTGCACTGTATGTAAACTCATACAAGTCCCGAACTATCCTAACAGTCCCATCAACATGATTTATGGACGCACTCAATATTTTCATAATTATTGCGACGTCTATCGTTTGAACAGATGCGATTTATGGTTGTCGGTAGTCTATTAACACAAGCGGAGGACACGTTATATGTATGTAAATTTCACGCGGTTGATTAACGGGCCTTCGTACTCGTTGCGTTCACATACTGCAATGTGTACTCTTATGCCACTAATTCACCTATCGCGGATCGACCGTCGTCATTTATCAGCGGAACGGAAACATGAACTCGAAAATTCGCGAACAACGTGTGACCTTCGCTGATAATTTATCTGTTTTCGACTCGATTCGCTAAAAACGAACAAGAAAATTGTTTTTCGAGGTAGCATGCATAATCGGTCGTAAAAGTTTCAATATTCCAAGAAATAAGTAGTTTTAACTAATTTCTTTTATTAAGTATTAGACTATTAAATTATATCGTTAACTGAGTTAAATTATCAGTTAAAAATTAATTAATTAAGCGCGACAACTAGTTAGCAGATTTCACGATTCACCTTGTCCGATTCAAAAGGTCGCGCAAGTGGCGAACTAATCTGCAATCGCGGCCGAACTTAATCACGGAAATTCGCAACGCGATTTCGCTCGGCGTATCAGATTTCCGTTTCCTGAATGAAAGACGATCCAGACCTGTACATCTTCGCGATTTTCCCTCGTGCGCATCCGTCTTATCGCGCGAAACTCCTAACGACTTAACAGCGAATTAAATTTGAATCCACTTAAACAGATAGCTGTTGGAAAATCTTCCTCGTTAGGAACCTTCCATGTATGGAAGCTCCATATAATTTATTATTTTTTTTTTAGTATCAAGGATCTCATGTAAGTAATTAAAAATATTCTTGAAGATCGTATCATATTTGGAGGAAAATGTATTCGAGTCTTTCTTAACTATTATTTGTCAAGTATAAATCCATTAATCTTCCTACGATAATAATGAACAGGTGTAAAGACTAGGAATGGGTTCAAGTTCAACATGTATTCCCGAGTCAATTTCAATAACCAAGTCTCATCTTGTAAGTTTTGATTAGTACTCAAAAGTAATAATGTTTTAATGATTATATTTGAAAAGTACTCATTTTATGTAAACTGATGTCAAATCTCGGAATGAGTACTTACAACATTCGAAAAGATACTTAGAAGTACTTTTATGTTAAAAGAAATTGAATCTTTCACAAATCGTACCCGGATCTTGAAAATCAGAATTGCATAGTCGATTTCAAGCAATTTGTTCATTAAACTTATAATATTTCATTTCCAATACTTGGTTTTAACTCGTTTCTTTTTTATCCACCATATTCTCTGCTTCTATCTGGCATAAGTTTGATTATAGAATTTTATTAGGAGTTCTGTTTCTATTTACCAAAATACTTATAGATAGTTTGAATTCTATTAATTAATCTTTGCGTTCTAACCCGTTTGCGAAGCACTTGTTCCTATCGCTAGTAAAGAGGATAATATTATTTAAGTACATACACGGACTATGTATAGTAATCCAATTATTAGCTGCTGGTGCTATCTACTGTATTTATCTCCGCGGATTAAACGTGCAAGGGATACGCTGGTCGCGCCAGTCATCGCGGATTAGCTTCAGAAAATGCGGACTCACTGTCCTATTATTTTCTATCATTATTAATAGTCTCAAGTTCCTCCAATTAGTCAAGTAGGATTTAATATTGTAATATAATATTCTACATTCAATGAAGGTCCAGAATAATATGTATTACTATTCTAATCGAAATTTCATTCACAATTATTGTCATGAATATACAGTCTGTATTATTATTATAAATTAGAGACTAGGTTAAAATACTCATATAGGGAATATTGACACAAGCAACTGACCTGGTAGAGTCCTGCCGACCGACACCACCGATACTGCTGCTTTGAGTGCTAACCCTGACCAGGGTGACGTTCCTATGCAAACTGGACAATGTTCCCGTGTGCCTCTGCCCGAGCAAGGGTGAGTCGGCAGCGATCGGGTTCTCCGGTAACGGCAGGTGGCCTTGAACCTCGACGTCCTTTTCCTCCTCCTCCTCGATGGTCCCCGGGAGGCGGAACAGTTTCTGTGGCTCCTCCATGCCACCTTGTGTCGCTTCACGTGCACGAATAAGCCTCCATCGAAAATATCGAACTCATCCTCCTCCGAGCCGTTCCTTTTTTTTTATACTTCTTGACACCTTCGCTCACCGATATTTGCCTCGACTCGATAATTCGCTTGATTTAATCGAAACGAACCCGACCGTTCTATCACCCCACCACCTCTGTCCGCTCCTTCTTATTTTTTTTCGTTCGAATCACGAACGGCGACGCGTTTTTTCGTCTCGTAACGAGGATGAATGAAGTCGATGGACGGGACCGCGCGACGATGACTCACGGCCACAGCCGAACAGTAAAGTTCCATCGTTTTCTGCCATCGTTCCTTCGCTTCCTCTCACTTTCCACCGGCATTCACACCGCCCTTCCGTTCGCGGAATACCGACGTTCCTTGTCCCTACGCACAGTAACCGTTACATCTTAGTTTTATTACATACCAAGTGACCAACGCCTGATTTTTATATCCCACGTTTTAAAACGTCTAATATTCAATTTCTTTATAAAAAAAAAACGTGTACATGATTTTTTTTAAGCAATGCTGTAAGTAGAATTCTAATGGATTTCTCTTAGGAAAATGACAAAACATTTATTTAGACTATTTAGAGTCTTTTAGCCTTGCATTGGGAGAGAGGATGAAGAGGACGTCGAGGTATGCGTCACGTAGAAAGGTTCTGGGGATCGACGACACGCTCTTTGCTTCCGGTTTCGGCAGAATTTAAAAAAACCCAGAAATATAATGTGTAATTTTATTCCTAAGAAAATTGATCAATTCTAATCTCAATGAATAGTAATAGTAAGAACTTCAATTTGTTCAGAGAACGAATCGATAAATAGATAGTATTTGTGAATTGTATAAAAATGAAGTCACAGGTATTTGAATATCAGGAAACGAGGACGTTTAATGCGGTAAGAATTCAGTGATAAGAATTGAAAACGGAATTGGGAATCAATGAAATGTATTAATAAGGATTATTCGAGGGAATTATTCATCAATGAAGCTGTAACCGGAGGTATCTTTCTTTTGGCGAATACGTGATTAATATGAAATACTCGTCCCGAGTGAGTCATTAATGGTGCGTCCCCGCGCGAAATCGTAATGATCCCAATGTCTAAAAATATACCTTCACCGAGATATGCCACGCAAGGCCGAGTTTATCTATTTTTTTTTATTTTTTCACGTGCAAGGAATGCAATGTTGTACGCGGGTTAACGTTGAGATTCTCGATGCGCTTGGGAATCGTAAAGAAACAATGAGCGCCAGGAAACGTACGCGAGTTTACTTGGAAGAATGACGTCGTCACAGATTAGGCCATCGATCAGCGGTTACATAATTATTTTGTTTTTACTGATTTTACCGATTGTTACGCGTCTGGTAATAATCTATGTACCTTTGAATCATGTAAGGCCTGTGTATTCGAGGAAAAATTTAATGAAGACTGATTCATTAGAAATGGAATTTCCGTTTTAATCCGCCTTTTAGATTATCGATTTATTTTTCGTTATCGAACACTCTCGAGGGCTTATCGTACCCGGAATAATATTGTAATGTCCAGCAAAATACACTCCCGTCCAGAAGTAAAAAAAAAGAATGAAAATAAAAATGATACAAAATTCTGATTGATTCTGTTGAAATTTTATATCAGTCGTGTTCGGTTGTCGAGTGTTTTTATTCTTCTCAAACAAGTCAGTATGTGTTATTCCAAGTAATTTTTGATGGCTCGTTCCACTGAGTACTCAATTATTATTGTCTATATATCTATAAGAAAATAATCGAATTTTAATTGCAGTTTGCATTCATTTTGTCTGGAAAATGAATAGTTTTAATAAATGGAGCACGTACAGGGAAATATTGTGTAGAGACTCTTAAGGTTCTATGAATCCTTAAATGAAGAGTGTAAATGAGAAAGTATTCATATTTTAATAATTATTAGATATCAGTACCGATCAGAATAAAAGCACTTCATAAAATTGTAGAAATTTTGTGAGCCTACTAACAAAGTTGTTACATTTTGAATTCTTATGTTCAATGACAAAATTTGGATTCTATTTATAAAAAAATTCAGATATCACAGTGCGATAATTTTATAATTTTATTTAAGTGTTAATGCATATTTTAAAAATAGTTTAAAGCTGAAATAATATAAACTTGGAGGATATTATTTAAGATGGACAATAAAAAGTAAGTACTATAGAGCATGCAGGCAACGTAAATAATTACAAGTCTGATACAATCCAATCAAAAAGTGCCAGAACCATGTACCATCTTTGTAATACATTTCTTAAACTTTTGACAGAGATTCTACGGCTGATAGAATCGTATATCTTGTTTAATGACATACTCTCATGACCAATGATTATAAAATATTGATCAACGATTTTAGAAAGTCGATAAATGTTTCGTATTAAAACTCGTGTACTGGAGTGTACTAGCCAAATTAAATACTGCTTATCTCTGACACGGTGACATAAATTATTCCAACCGTGGTCGCGGTTCACCAAATTCTCATCGCCCATATGCATGTACAGTGTACAGTCGAGACAGGTATTAAGTGAACAGACTCCAAAATGAAATAATTTTTTTAATACCAGACCAAACTACATAATTTTTTATGGAATACAAGCTTACTTTAGTATACAATGCAGGTTTCCATGACTTGTTGCCTACAACTGAGATAAATCGAAGAATTGTTGTATGTTTCGATGTAACTTTTCTAATAAACATTTCTCTTTAGACATTGCATAGTAAAATAAATTTTATTACATTCCACAGAAAATTGTTGTTTGCTCTGATATCAAAAAATTTATTCCATTTTGGAGTGTGTTAACTTAAGGTTGTATGAACCCTTA